TCCCAGGACAGGGACAGCACAGGGTTGGATACAGAGTAAAGGTCCCTCTACACTGACCCCATCAAACACTCCCAGGACAGGGACAGCACAGGGTTAGATACAGAGTAAAGCTTCCTCTACACTGTCCCCCATCAAACACTCCCAGGACAGGGGCAGCACAGGGTTAGATACAGAGTAAAGCCCCCTCTACACTGTCCCCCATCAAACACTCCCAGGACAGGGACAGCACAGGGTTAGATACCGAGTAAAGCTCCCTCTGCACGTGGCTGAGAGAGCAGCCACCCCTCCCCGGGTGAAGCTGTACCCACCTTGATCGGAGTAAATGTTGCCCCATCCTGAGACACTCGGTATGGGGCAGTGGGTATTTTGTTGGGAGTGGCACTGGATGGATGTAGTCATTCATGTGGAGGGTCTCAGCCAGTTCAATGAGCATGATGTTGTGGTCCAGAGAGTAAATGTTAAACTGGGGGTGTTGGTAGATACTGTCTACACCAACTAGCCTCTCCGTCCCTGTGCGATCCATCAGGCTGTGAGCCCCAAGCAGCACTTTCAGGTAACTAGGACTGCAACACAATTAATTTGATTTGATTTATTATTGTCACATGTACCGAGATACAGTGAAAAGCATTGTTTTGCGTGCTATCCAGGCAAACCATACCTTACTTAAGCGCAGAGATAACAAGGTGCAGAGCTGGATGAACACAGCAGGCCAAGCAGCATCAGAGGAGCAGGAAGGCTGATGTTTCGGGCCGAGACCCTTCCCACTACCCCTTACTTAAGGGTCATACAGCAGCATGGGAATTAGTGTTATGGCTACAGAGGAGGATCACCTCTAATATGTGAGAGGTACATTCATCAGTCTGCTAACAGCAGAGAAGAAGCTGTTCTTCAATCTGTTGGTACGTGTCTTTAAGCTTTTGTAACTTCAATGAAAGAGTATAACCGGGGCGGGAGGGGTCTTTGATGATGTTGGCTGCTTTCCTGAGGCAGTGGGAAGCGTAGATTTTGTTTTCTTTATTCATTCTCGGGATGAGGCTGTCACTGGCAAGGCCGGCATTTATTGCCCTTAGGGCAGTTCGGAGTCAACCACATTGCTGTGGGCCTGGAGTCACACGTAGGCCAGACCAGGTAAGGATGGCAGTTTCCTTCCCTCAAGGGCGTTAGTGAGCCAGATGTGTTTTTCCTAACAATCAACTCACGGTCATCATTAGACTCTTAATTCCAGATATTTTTATTGAATTCAAATTCCACCATCTGCTGTGGCGGGATTCAAACCTGGGTCCCCCAGAACATTACCTGGGTCTCTAGATTAACAGTCCAGCGATAATACCACTAGGCCGTCGCCTCTCCAATGGCGTTGACGGAAGGATTACATTTCTCAGGAGCAGTCAGTACCCATCGCGCCCCACATCCCCATCCTCTCCTCCCCTTCCCCAGGTCCATTCAGATATCCAGCCCTTTGCGCCAACACCCCTCCCCCACTACCACCACCAGAAGGACCACAATGCGGGTGGGAGGGGAGTTTGTAAAATTGCCTGGATGACAGACAAGGCCCCAACTTTATATCACGTTGCTTCAGCCTCAGGCTGAGCCCTGCACTGTTCTCATTGTCACTTTGTCAGGAGGAACTGGAGAGGGTGCAGGTGAGATTTTGCAGGGCATGGCGTTCCTCAGCTCTGAGGAGTTTTCCCTGGAGTGGAAGGGAAGGAATCTGACTGAGATTTGCACAACTATGCGAAGCGTAGACAGAGTGGATCCCAAGTATCTCTACCCCAGCAGCAGACAAGAGGGCGCGTGTGTTTAAAATAAGGAGCAAATGGTTTAGAGGAGATCCGAGAAGGAATGGTTTTCACTCAGAGGGTGGTTGAAATACGGAATGTGCTGCCTGAGAGCTTGATGGAGGCAGATATGCTTACAACATTTTAAGAAGCTTCTGGATGAGCGTTTACAACGCCAGGGCATAGGAGGTCAGGTGGATGGGATTATTGTGGTTTGGTGCTTGGTAGCCAGCATGGGCATAGAGGGCTGAAGGGCCTGTTTCTATGTTGTGTGACTCTGGGGGGATGCGGGAGTCACTCGATTATACTTTGAATGACAAAATGTCTTGGCGCGAGCCAGGCTCAGTAGCTACGAGCTGTCAATAATTGCAATGAGAACGCAACTGGATCACACAGGGCAGGAAGAGCCATTCTCCTCACCCAGACTGAGCTTAGATGTGACTCCAGACCCACAGCAAGGTGGCTGACTCTTAACTGCCCTCCGAACTTGCCAAGCTGGCCGCTCAACCAGCGTCTACATCTCGCTTACAAAAAAAATTATTTTTGGTGCATGGGGCAGCATCAGATCCCCTCACCGTCCTGACATGGAAATATACCGCTGTTCCTTCCTGGGTCAAAATCCTGGAATTCCCTCCCTGAGGGGCATTGTGGGTCTATCTGCAGCACATGGGGACTGCAGCGGTTCAAGAAGGCAGCTCACCCCCACCTTCTCAAGGTGGGGGGGCAACTAGGGACGGGCAATAAATGTTAAAGGTTCTGGGTACCTGGACTCAGAGCAAAAATGGTTCCGGGAAGGGGGAAGGCTGAGAGGAGATAGACGGAGGGGCACAAAATTACGAGGGGTGGTGCCCGGGAGTGAAACTGCTCCCAATTAGAAGGTGGCTCGGGGACTGGAGGGCATCGGTGGAGGGTGATTGGCAGGATCCATGAGGTGAGGGTGAACTTGGCTCTGGCAGTGAGCAGGGGTGGGGTGGATAGGGTCCGAGGGGGCACGGACTGATCGAGGTCTTCGGGAAGGGAATGGGAGGAGGACGGAGAGCCGGGTTGCTCTTGCAGCGAGCTAGCATGGATAGAAGGGGCAGAGTGGACTCTTCCCCAGTATAAAAGGGTGCCTCGAGAAGGTGCACATACCTGTAATAGCAGTGGGCAGCAGATACCACCCAGCGGTCACTGAACAAGGACCCTCCACAGCCATGGTAACCCATATCCAGGGATACCTGCCAGGGAACAGAGCAGGAGTTGCATTCATATCCACCAACTATCTTGACTTCTGAGGAGGCAGCAACTACAAGTAAAGTTTGGAGGGGTTAGGGGAGGGGAAGGAACACGAATCAGAGGTCATTCGACCCCTCTCACTTACTACTCCCCTTCAACATGAGCGATCCGTTCAGCGCCACGTCCCCTCCCTCCCAGCACCCAGAAATCTCCCCATCACGATCCGAACCTCCCCAAGCAATGGACCGGGTTTGGGGAGGGTTGAGGAATGAAGTAGGAAGGGTCATTGGACCCCGAAACGTTAACTCTGCCTTTCCAGCTTTTCCAGCAACTTCTGCTCTCGCTTGAGATTTGGCGACTTTGCACACAGGGTTACCTTTATCCTTCATGCTGCTTTGCCCCTGCGACGGGTGTGTGTAGGAGCAAAGAAGGGACCCCTCCCAGCGTGTATAACCTGAGCTTACCTGCTACCACCAGCAACACACAGAGAATCAGCTCCACCACCTTTGGTCACCTCAGGTCAGCAATGACTCCTGGTGAGTCGGCTATTTATCCCCAGCCTCCCGTATCTCTGGAAACTCACCGGTTCCCAGGTTTCCCGTGTGGAACAAGAGGAGTCGGAGACAAGAGATATCAGAGGATTTTGGGTCGGAGATCATCACAAACACCCCTCCCCTTCACACGCTCTCTCAAGATATCACCTATGCCGGAACGTTCTCCACTGTCCAAGTTCCTGGAATTTCCTTGCTCTACATTCCTCAAAAGCCAGTAGCTGTCTCGCTTTACTCCATCATTCCCCACACTCCCCTCCCCTCTCAATCGAGCTTGTCTTCGGGCTAAACTGCATTTTGTTGAATCGAAGAAACACACGAGGCAGGGAGACGCCATTCTGCCATGCTGACTGTCCCTACCTTCTTCCTCCCCGCTCTCTGCTCCCGTCTCCCCCACCCCCTCCCAAATCTCTTCATTGTTCCCCCTCCCCCAGTATTTCTCTACCTCCCCTCTCCCCGTTGGATTTACCCCCTTGCAGGGTGCGCATCCCAGATCACAATGACTCACTGTGTCATCATACAAGCAAAGGGGAGGCGATGGCCTGGTGGTGTTATCGCTGGGCTATTAATCCAGAGACCCAGGTAATGTTCTGGGGACCTGGGTTCAAATCCTGCCTTGGCAGATGGTGGAATTTGAATCTGATAATAATCTGGAATTAGGAGTCGAATGATGACCATGAAGCATTGATTATCAGGGGGCCAAAGCCCCCAGCTGGTTTGCTAATGTCCTACATGTAACTCCAGACCCACAGCAATGGGGTTGACTCTTAACTGCCCTCTGGGCAATAAATGGTACCTGGCCAGTATGTGATAGCCACATCCCATGAATGAATTTTAAGAAAAGAGACAAATGTTTCTCTTCCCTGATTCCCTTCAACTTCTGACCCTCCTGCCCCTGGGAACATTGTCTCGATTATATAAGCCCCAGGGATTCTGAATGCCCCAATTTGCATCCGCGGTCCGAGGGGGACGATTCCCAGACTCTCCTGGTCTCTCGCCACGGAATTCAGCCCTGAGACTATCCCTGCGGATTTCCTTTGTGTATTCTATCTCACATCCTTCCCATCAGTGGGACACCCAGAACCGCACAGAATTCTCCACCTGGGCTCAACGAGTAATTTGTACAGGTTACCATAACTGCCTTCATTTTGTAATCAAGGCCCCTTTTCATAAGAGCTAGCAGCAGGAGATGGCCATTCAGCCCCTCAAGCCTGCTTTCTGCACCCCCCCCCCCCCCCCCCCCCCCCCCGCCCACCCCAGTATCATCGCAGCTGATCTCATCCCAGCCTCAACTCCACTCTAACAATTTGGGAAGGGTTTAGAGGGATACAGGACAAATGCTGGCAAATGAGACGAGATTCATTTAGGATACCTGGTCAGCAAAGACAGGTTGGACTCAAGAGACTTTTTTTAACTGATTAAAAAGCCATGTATCTCCTTTTTAAGAGATAGTAGGAACTGCAGATGCTCGAGAATCTGAGATAACAAGGTATAGAGCTGGATGAACACAGCAGCATCAAGGCTGACATTTCAGGTTTCTCCTCTTTAAATTTGCTCAGTGCCAACTGCACTCTGGGGGAGTGAATCCCACACATTCATGACCCTTTTGGAAAGGCTCATTCCTCCCAGGATCACTGCATGTTTGGAAACAAGCCATTAAGGCCCATCGAGTCCACACTGACCCTCCAAAGAGAATCCCACCCATACCCTATAACCCTGCGTTTCCTGTGACTGAGCCACCCTAACCTGCTCACCTTTGGACTGTGGGAGGAAACCGGAGCAAACCCACGCAGACACAGGGAGAATGTGCAAACTCCACACAGACAGTTGCCTAAGGGTGGGATCAAACCCGGGTTCCTGGTGCTGTGAGGCAGCAGTGCTAACCACGAGCTACTGTGGCACTCACAGCTCCAGTTTCATCTCTGTTGTAAATCAGCCCTATCCGAGAGCTATAGCCTCTTGTTCTAGATTCTACATCCTCTCTACGTCCAATATAGCCTGGCATATGATATGTAATTGCAATCTCAGTTAGTCCTGACATGTTTAATGACCTGTGCACAGAGTTATAGAGTCCTACAGCACAGAAACAGACCCTTCGGTCCAACCAGTCCATGCTGACCATAATCCCAAACTAAGCTAGTCCCGCCTGCCTGCTCCTGGCCCATGTCCCTCCAAACCTTTCCCGTTCATGTACTTATCCAAATATCATTTAAATATCGTTGTAACTGTACCCGCATCCTCTGGAAGTTCATTCCGCACACTCTGTGTGAAAAAGTTGCCTCCATGTCCTTTCTAAATCTTTCTCGTCTCACGTTAAAAATGTGCCTCCTAGTCTTGAAGTTCCCCACCCTAGGGAAAGGAAACCTGCCATTCACCTTATCCATGCCTCTCATGATTTTATAGACCGCTATAAGGTCAACCCTCAACCTCCAACTCCGTCCTCCTCGCAATCTCTCCAAGTTTTGTGTGCCCTCGCAAATTCTGAAATGCTGTCTTGTACACAGAAAGGTCTCTCTTTGCACCAACAGATGAACAAAGAACAGATGTAGGCCATTCAGCCCCTCATCGGGTCGACAATTCCCCTTTGGCTGGGGAACAAGAGGCAGAGGGCTGACCAACAACAGTTGGGGAGCGTCCCCTCAGATTGGGAGCTGAAACACATTCCCTGGGAGTGTGGTGGAGACAGATCTGATGGAGATTTCCACAAAGGACTGGGATTGTCAATGGAAGAGGAAATAAAGATTAGAAGGGACAGTGAGGAGAAGGAAGTGGGACGCTGTTCTAGGAAGGGTATTATTAAACTGGAAAGGGTTCTGAAAAGATTTACCAGGATGTATTGCCGGGAATGAAGAGTTTGAGCTATAGGGAGAGGTTGGATAGGATAGGACTTTGTTCACTGTAGCGTCGGAGGCTGAGGGTGACCTTATAGAGGTCTATAAAATCATGAGGAGCATGGATAGGATTTACCCAGGACAGGGAAATTCAAAACTAGAACGCACAGGTTTGAGGTGAGAGGGGAATGATTTAAAAGGGACCTGAGGGGCAACTTTTTCACACAGAGGGTGGTGCGTGTATGGAACGAGCTGCGAGAGAAAGTGGTGGAGGCTGGTAGAGTTATAACATTTAAAAGGCATCTGGATGGGTACATGAATAGGAAGGGTTTAGAGGGATATGGGCCAAATGCTGGCAAATGGGACTGGATTAATTTAGGATATCTGGTTGGCATGGATAAGTTGGACTGAAGGGTCTGTTTCCATGCTGTATATCGCCGTGCTGTTGCAGAGAGCCAGCATTAAGGTGCCAGGCTGAATGGCTTTCGTTGCTTGTTCACCGGTTACCGAGAGACTGCATGACCTTGGCCTCACCTCCAAGAGATTGACGCTGTTTTAAACATGTGCAGAGTGTGGAATCGACCAGAAGTACAATTTCCCACACGAAGGTACCAGAATGTCACCTTTCGCAAGAGTGGGAAGACAGTAGCTGTGCTGAGTCACCACAGACAATAAAGAGGGACTCAGATTCTCCCTCTTCCTGTATCTCCCTCACCTCTGATACCTCCCCTCCCCAGCCCCCGCAATCCAGGATTGACGACAATGCCTAGGGCACCATAAGGATGGTGGCTCAGTGGGTTAGCACTGCTGCCTCATAGCACCAGGGACCCGGGTTCGATTCCACCCTTGGGCCACTGTCTGTGTGGAGTTTGCACATTCCCCCTGTGTCTGCATGGGTTTCCTCCCACAGTCCAAAGATGTGCAGGCTAGGTGGATTGGCCATGCTAAATTGCCCATAGTGTTCAGGGATGTGTAGATTAGGGGGGTTATGGGGTTATGGAGGGATGGGTCTGGGTGGGATGCTCTGAGGGTCGGTGCAGACTTGTTGGGCCGAAGGGCCTGTTTCCACACTGTAGGGATTCTATGATTCTTGAAGACTGCGGAAATTCCCAGGAAAGGACTCCCCACTGCGGATCTCTGGCAATGTTCAGTTCTCAGGCCTAGAGGGTCAAGCCTCATCACAAAATATAGGGTCCAACTCAACATATACCCTACATCAAAATCACTGACACCCCTCAGTGAGCCTTGCACTGTCGGAGGGTCAGTGCTGAGGGAGCCCCGCGCTGTCGGAGGGTCAGTGCTGAGGGAGCATTGCACTGTCGGAGGGTCAGCGCTGAGGGAGCGCCGCACTGTCAGAGGGTCAGTGACAGCCCACAGGTAGCAGGGTTTTAATACACTCCATCTAACCTCTCTGATATAACTCTCTAACCCTGCCCTGGTGGTAGTTTTGTGTTGCTGACATCACCTTGGCCAATCTGCCTTACATTAATCTCTCTGCATTGGCTCTGGGAGCAATGAGAATCTGGACCATCAGTTTAATTTGGATAAATGCAAAGTATTGCATTTTGGTAAAAGAAACCAGTACAAGACTATACCGTCGTGAATGGACAGGTTATTATAGATTAGCTAACCATATATATCCACTGGCCTCTCACAGCCTGGCTCCCCTTCATCCACCCACTCAGAGATTGGGCAAGCAACGATGACCTTGGGCTGACATTACAAAGCAATACACGTTGAGGAGGAGACCATTCAGCCCATCCGCCCGTGCTGAAAGGAGAGTCACATGGTCATACAGCACAGAAACAGCCCATTCGGTTCTCTCGTCCACGCTGACAAGTTTTCCCAAAACTCATCTCGTCCCACTTGTTTGGCCAATATCCCCCTAAACCTTTCTTATTATTGTACTTGTCCAACTGACTTTTAAATGTTGCAACTGTACCTGCATCTACCACTTCCTCCGGCAGCTCACTCCAAACATATGACCCTTCCCTGTGTGAAAAAGTTGCCCTTTCTGGTCCCTTTTCAATCATTCCCCTCTCACCCTAAAAATATGCCCCTCTAGTTTTGAACTCCCCTACCCTGCGGAAAAGACCTTTGCTACTCACCTTTTATCTGTGCCCCTCATGATTTTATAAACCTCTATAAGATCACCCCTCAACTTCCTACGTTCCAGGGAAAGATGTCCCAGCCTATCCAGCCTGTCCTTTTAACTCAAACCCTCCATTCCTGGCAACATCCTGGTAAATCTTTTTCATTTTAATCATATAGCTTATA